TGGAACCAAAATATAAGTAACTCTCTCATTTAAAATTACAGATATTGGTAATGGGGTTTTCCTGTTTCTTTTGATATTACATTTTTGATGTTAAAAAAACACAATTTGACATTCTTTACGACCAAAGCCCAAAGTGTGGTCAATGCATGCATTGGCTGTCTAGGTTGGGCAACGTCAGAAGATATTTACAACATAGTATACAAAACACCCACATCTGTTCATGATCTAATTCAGACATTGACTGCTTGTACCTGTCCAGTTTACAAACTGGCTGGCCAATGTCCAAAATCTTGATCATGGGCTGGACAATGGGAGATGATATTATAGGCAAATTCACCAACTGACCAGCCATAGTGCACATTGGCAGACTTCAGGCTTGGGCCATAACACCCACAAACATCGATCTATATATATATGGTCATTTAGTTTTGACTACAAAAAATGCACATTTACCGTTCAATTTAGACTAACACTCCCCTCCCCGCTACAATATGGATGTCCACAAAAATGTATAGCTCTCAAAATTTACTTCCAATATAATAATTCAATAATATGCAAGAGTACAATGTGCTAATAATTTTGTCTTATATAGTAATTTATTCTTCTAAGAAATATCTTTTGTTAAAAAATTGTCAGCTCTTTTAATTTTAATAATGGTGAATTTAGAACGTTTTGGAATAATCTTTCTGATATGCTACTACTATGCTATGGATATTCTTCATACCTAGACCAAAATCTGAGAGTTTGAAACATTGATTAATTACAGAAGTAAAAAGTTTTAAATTTTTTACTGTGGGTAGACACAGCACACAAATAAGCTGTAAAGCCACATTCAGTGGCGTAGCGACCCTTCCAGGGGACAAACTTTCAAGTTTTTCTCTATATATTTTACTATTTTTTGCCTTGGTGTCACCCCCCTTAAATGGTGTCACCCGATGCGGTCCGCACCCCCAGCCCCCCCCCCCCTCGCTACACCTCTGGGGCCACATTGAGTTCATGACCCATATTTTGGTTTTCTTCATTCAATGCTTACTACAGTTGTACAAACTATAAAAAATTATATTCCAGGATTTAATAATAATTTAATTACACGCAGAGCAGTTTTTTTAAAACTTAACCTGCCATTAAAATATAGGGCATATACAGTTAGCATAAAAAACATTGCATTACTTTAATGGGTAAGGATTTTTATGTTAAATTTAATGATGTCCACATGAATCAGAACTGTAGACACCTCCCCCCTCCCCTCAACAGTCCATAAAAGTCTATGAAACATAATGCATGCTCAGGGCTACAGGATATGAGTTTAACAAATGTCAAAGTGGTAAGGCCCCATCTGCTCTCTAAGATTTTAAAATTAATTGGTTAATTATTAGGCTAATGATAGGGTAAAGCAGGGCCGTGTGGCTGACACAGTCAGCACCCCACACCTACAAAAACCCCAATATATAAATAAATAATAAATAGGCCTGAATAAGTAATAAATAAATTAGGCGGTGATGTTAATTAATATCTTTATTATCAAGTATCAATTTTCAATGGCGTCATTATTATTGTGTAGCCTATTCTTTTCAGCACTGGCTTTTTAATTTTATGTTTAATCTAGAATCAATGACTACATTTTATTGTGTGTAGTTTACTGGCCTTAGAACTGTACAAATTTCAACATCTTATTCTTAAGTCTAGTTTTAATAGTTTTATGATAGGACTAGGGTTGGGGATAGCATGTTATTTGTGTGTGTATTTTAGTTAACTTCAAGCAACCAAACACCCCAATGTTAAGAAGATTTTTTATGGGACGTATAAATAATACCCTCCCCCCAGTAGCCTAACAATCCCTTTTCAGTAAAATTATATTATTCATATGGTGCCATCATATGACACTTGTATAGGCCCTACCGAACATAATTATATTAATTACTTAACTTTGCCGATTTTGGTGACAAATTCATTAGAGTTCAGTGAAACTTTAAGGAACCCTAGTAGTAGCATTATGTGATCAGTGTTTCTTCCAGACTTTTTTCTCCGGGGGGGGGGGGGGGGGGGGGGGGGGACTTAAAATTTTCAGGGGGGGGGGGGCGACAAACTTTCTTCGGGGGGGGACGGACACTGTTAAAAGTATATATTTTCTATAGGCCCTATAAATTATATAAATTTCATTTCTTTCGGGGGGGGGGGGGGGGGGGCGGTAAAAATTTTTCGGGGGGGGGGGGGGGGGATTAACTCTGTATGTGATTACTGCCAAATATTTTCCATTAAGTTAGCCGTCAGGCTATCTATCTACCAACCACTTACTAAACTAGGTCTAGACTTCTAGATTCTAGATCTAGATCTAGATCTCCTCTAGATCTAGTAAACTTTGACAACGAAGTGACTGAACCAACCAACATGTCATTTCCGCATTTTTCCGAAACTAAAAATCAACTTAAACATTTCCAGGTAGGCTGACCAAGTTTGTATACCTGTGTGGACAAAACAAAGCAGAACCAGTAGGAGAACACCTCGGATCATCTGAATGTCCATTGTCATGTTTATTTACGCGTTGTTTGTGTGTACAAAGTGTGTTATGCCCTCATCAGACTGTACGAAGTAAAACTCAATCCGGAAGTTACCTGCGACCTACTAAAACGAAATTTGTTACCTGCGATCAATGCGCCACCTTTAGAAGCGGGATAACCCAAATAATGATTTTTACAAAAATTGTCAAAAATGGTTTCCCCTTATTTCCCCTATTTTGCAAGGTGCCAATATAAAATAGTGACTAGTGACGCTTTATTATATTCAAATAAACTCATCTTATTTTACTATTTTAAGTTTTTTATTATACAAGTTTTTATACGTTATTATCTACATTTTAATAGGTTATTTTAATTTTATTTTGTACGTCTTTCTAAAAGGTAGATGAACTTATTTTAAACATTTTTTGAAGGCACCAAAAACACGCACTGGTGCGCACCTAGCTTTTGAACGCCGTACATAACGATGTAAATTTGGCTCGAACAATGGCTTATAGGACGGATTACAATAACAGAGACCAACTTCATCTTACACTAGTATGTAGTTAGTAGAATGTCTTCGTTTTCTTGTTAGAGCATAGGTCTACGTTGGTAGAATTTAGTTTTTGCGTTCTTTTTAGTTAGGCTCCAATACATTTCGATACCTTTTCTAATTACTTCCTCTATTTTTGATGTGAAGTCCCGATATTATTGTCGACATGGATGAAAAGACGTGGTTTTGTCTTCAGAATGGTCGTAAAACATTGTTTTTAAATCTAAAAAGCTAAACAAATCCCGTAATTTATTTTTTTAAGAATCAATGTTACAACATTTCACAAATTGCAGAGTAGGCCTACTTTGAAGTTGAAAGTATTTTTTTTGCCTTTAAAAGTTTAGTTTAAGGATACATTACATTTATTTGTAATCATAATACTCTCATCCATCATCCTGCAATTTCACTTTAGGAAAAACTTTGAATTGCTAGATCTATATCTACAATAAGGTCGTGATTTCATTTATACACCCCCCCCCCCTCTTAAAAAAATACAATTTAAATCTGTTCCGATAAATATTTGTAATAAATCTATGCCGTCAAACCAAAACTTGACTTAGTTACGCCATGTTTGTTTACATTTTTCATGTGAAAATGAGAGAAAAAAAACAAATTAAATTTTTACATTTTTTACTTGCTTAAAATATTAAACCGTAACATCCTATAAATATGTTAAGAGAAGCCATACAAAACACACAATGAGGTTTCTATAACCACATCTGTTTTCTTAACACCGCATATTATTTTTAGAATATTTAAAGGATTTCCTGGAAATTCCCCAGTGGACCCCATTAAAAAGTTACATAAATAAGTTCCGTAGCCACTTGAACACTCCTTGAAAAATAAAAATGTTTTCAATTTGAAACAGAATTATTGGACATAATGACGGCACAATTACAGCGGCTATTCTAAAAATAAACCAAAATGGGCCATCGTTTGCCAGCTTCGGGGATTCCCACAGCATCGTCGGAGCACTACAGATTTTACCAAGTCATCCCCGTGGAGAACCGCATAAGACCCAGAGTTGTGGAGAACAGCACCGCGTGCACGCTGCGACCCAAGTTCGTCGCTCACGCCTGCCCGGGGTGCTGCTCACGACTGACTAGGCACGACAGCCCGCGTGTGGACCCGGTCAGGAAACAGGAACACAGGCCCAGCGTGTGCTGCTATCCGGTGGCGCGTGCGGGCCCGACTCGACGCTGTAGAGATCCGCAGCAGGCACCATCGCAACGGAACATGCATACGGCATCCAGTCAGTCATGTCACCACCCTAGGAAGTCCAGTCAACTCGATGTCAGGGGCGATCATCCACATACCCCCAGACAAAACAAGTAAGTTATTTTGTCAGGGGGGGGGGGGGGATCATCCACATACCCCCAGACAAAACAAGTCATTTCTTCAGGGGCGATCATCCACATACCCCCAGACAAAACAAGTAAGTCATTTTGTCAGGGGCGACCATCCACATACCCCCAGACAAAACAAGTAAGTCATTTTGTCAGGGGCGATCATCCACATACCCCCAGACAAAACAAGTAAGTCATTTTGTCAGGGGGGGGGGATCATCCTAGATCAAACAAGTAAGTCATTTCTTCAGGGGCGATCATCCACAAACCCCTAGACAAAACAAGTAAGTCATTTTGTCAGGGGTGATCATCCACCACACCACTCTATACAAAAACAAGTCATTTTGTCAGGGGCACTCATTCACACTACTCCATACAAAAACAAGAAACTTATACTTGAAACCCCTCATATATTAAGGCAATCAACATAAATAAATCGGGGCATGAAATATGTAAAACTAGTTCTGCCTCTTGTTTATGTAACATCATATTAAATACCATTATTAATTTTATTATAATATTGTTAAGTTACTTATTCAACCTCCACTGTTAGTGATTATAGCAGAAAAACCTTTCCACGTTATTGTTTTCGTATTTTTAGGAGAAAGTTTAGTTTAAAAACAATTCAATTCAGTGCAGCATAGTTTCCAGAGTGGAACCATTTACTCTTAGAAGTTGTTTTTTTTTTAGACTGATTTTACCTTGAAGCTTAAAAACCTTTGAGTAAACTTTATAGGTCTGCGTGTGTGTGTGTCTGTGTGTGTGTGCTTGAGAGCCTGGGTGTGTTTGATAAGCTAAAGAATCCGTCCTTGAACCCTGCTCATCCTTGTGACCAACTCTCTCCCAGAACACAACTGGCCTCGTTCTACCTCTGGCAGACGCCGGGGACGTGTGAGCTGCACGTGCCACGTCGTCTGCTGGACGCGTCCAACCGTATGAGGTACGTGAGACCTGCTGAGTGCCAGACCGGCGGCAGCTTGACGAACCTCAAACAAGACTCTCTGACGTGCCAGGGATACAAGAAATACATCCAGAAGGTAAGGAATTACTTTAGTACCTTCAAGAAGGTAAGGAATTACTTTAGTACCTTCAGAAGGTAAGGAATCTACTCCAGTATCTTCAGAAGGTAAGGAATCTACTCCAGTACCTTCAGAAGGTAAGGAATTACTTTAGTACCTTCAGAAGGTAAGGAATCTACTCCAGTACCTTCAGAAGGTAAGGAATTACTTTAGTACCTTCAGAGGGTAAGGAATCTACTCCAGTACCTTCAGAAGGTAAGGAATCTACTCCAGTACCTTCAGAAGGTAAGGAATCTACTCCAATACTTCCAGAAGGTAAGGAATCTACTCCAGTACCTTCAGAAGGTAAGGAATCTACTCCAGTACCTTCAGAAGGTAAGGAATCTACTCCAGTACCTTCAGAAGGTAAGGAATCTACTCCAGTACCTTCAGAAGGTAAGGAATTACTTTAGTACCTTCAGAGGGTAAGGAATCTACTCCAGTACCTTCAGAAGGTAAGGAATCTACTCCAGTACCTTCAAGAAGGTAAGGAATTACTTTAGTACCTTCAGAAGGTAAGGAATCTACTCCAGTACCTTCAGAAGGTAAGGAATCTACTCCAGTACCTTCAGAAGGTAAGGAACTACTCCAGTACCTTCAAGAAGGTAAGGAATTACTTTAGTACCTTCAGAAGGTAAGGAACTACTCCAGTACCTTCAAGAAGGTAAGGAATTACTTTAGTACCTTCAGAAGGTAAGGAATCTACTCCAGTACCTTCAGAAGGTAAGGAATCTATTCCAGTACCTCCAGAAGGTAAGGAATCTACTCCAGTACCTCCAGAAGGTAAGGAATCTATTCCAGTACCTTTAGAAGGTAAGGAATCTACTCCAGTACCTCCAGAAGGTAAGGAATCTATTCCAGTACCTTTAGAAGGTAAGGAATCTACTCCAGTACCTCCAGAAGGTAAGGAATCTACTCTAGTACCTTCTGAAGGTAAGGAATCTACTTCAGTACCAGGAGGTCGGCGTGGTCGAGTCGGTAAAGCTGATGATTGCTAAACCGAAAAATCTCGAGTTCGAACCTTGGAACAGATGAGGCTCGTTATCTGGGGACAGCCACTCTTCTAGGAGACACAACTCTTAAATCAAACAACTGCTGCCTTGTAGTTTGTTCATATAAGGACAAAGGCTATGGAAGTAAATCCAAAAAGAAAAGCAGGCCGAAATCGGAGTCAATGGCCTCAATGGCGCATAATCAGTTGACACGTATACTTAATTGTGTTGGAGGGGATCTCTTTCAACACTAAAATTAAGGACGAAGAAGAAAGACTCCAGTACCTTCAGAAGGTAAGCATCCCATTCACGTACCTTTAGAAGGTTAGGAATCCATTCCTCTACCTTTAGAAGATAAGGAACCCATTCCAATGCCCCAAGAAGGTAGGGAACCCATTCCTTTACATCTAGAAGGTAAGGAAACCATTCCAATACCTCAAGAAGGTAGGGAACCCATTCCTTTACATCTAGAAGGTAAGGAAACCATTCCAATACCTTCAGAAGAAGGGAAACCGAGCATGCTATACATGGGAAGATGGCCACTCGGCTTCACACTTCCACAAGGTCACTTCCATCAAACCCATGTAATGGTGGTGACTCATTCCTATAATAGACCTTACTCTCTCTCCCGACATGGGTAGATAGACTCACTCTTAACACTAAGAAATAATGAACTCAGTAAACCAAAAAACCATCGACAGTTTCATCATTTATCTTCTCTTTCCCCCACTACCAGATCAACATTGACGATTGTTACATACCTGTGGTTAGAATGAAAGAAACGTCGTGTGCCGTTACACCGTTTTTTGGCAAGAAAAAAAGGTAAGTGCTAAATGTTTATTCATGTTTAAACTGTGAGTTTAGTAAACAAAACTTCGTTTCTTTTTCTCAAGCAAAAAAACATAAAGCTTGGTAAAGTAAAACTCACTGATTATTTCGCTAAGGCGTAATCCATAAATTACGTCACGTTTTTTAAAAACAATTCTTACCCTCCCCCCTCCTCTGTCACACATCATCACAAAAAGTCAGACCCACCAACTCTAATGACTTCACAACTGAGCCTACAACCACCACCCCCTCCCCAATTTCAGTTGAATGTTTCTTAAAACTTTATTTTTTTCTAAAATCTTGACTGAGCTCAGGCAACGTAGAGTATTTTTTTTATCCATTTCAATCACAATTTATTATAACAGTTTTCTAAAGTTGCGAAATAACGGCTAAAAATTCGTTTTCTAACATGACAATTTAATAATGCAAAACTGTAACGTTACACTCACTGAATCCCCTCATCAGACACCGTCAAAAAAATACGGAGATCCTCATGCCTACAAGTGTGACGTCATTTAACGACCCTTAAATTTCCACTCGATATTTAACTTAACATACTGAGTGATTAAAGTGTACAATAAGTCATCATTCTGATACCAATATTCAGGATTCATGTTAATTCAAAAAATAATTATTATGGGTCATGTTAAAAAAATAAGAGCTCAAAGACTTAAATGTAAGGCTTCAAAAATAACTGTGGTGTTCTATTTTTAAGTGTGTTGAGCACTTTCCTATCAAAACTTACCATCACCACAAACAAATCACAGTACCACAAGCTAAACGAATGTTGACAAAAAAAAACCATCATAGAACCACAAGCAAAACGAATGTTGATGTATCTCTCTATTCCCATCCAGCTGTTTTAAGTTCTGTGGATTACTTCCATCGGGCCCCTGCAAATCATGGAAATGACAGCACTGGCAAATTTCATTCCAACTTTTGATTGTGTTTACCCAGTTTTACTATTTTAAAAAATAACATCCATTAATAAAAATCATCCATCAAATTTATAACTGTATTTGTCTGTTGACTCTTTTTGTGTCTAAAACTTTATAGACTTGTAAGTTTGGAATTTCTTCAGCGTGTGTGTAGGCTACATTGTTTTAACCTTTTTTTCCTTTACTCTTTGGTATTTTTTGTTTTGTTTGTGTAATAATATTACATAATTCAATGTTAAAATATTGAAATGTGTATGTTATAATGGCAAAAAGACAAAGTACACACATAAGCTACAGACAGACATGCTGACAAATTAAATAAAAAAAATAAATCAATTGTTTTGTAGAATACCAGAAGATTTTGCTTATGATTACATTGACTGTTTACAAATCTGAAACAAATATGACCAAAACTGTTGAAAGTTATAAAATATATGAAATATAAAATGGACAGTGCATTTACAAATAATTTATTTTAAAAATTACATCACTGTATTAATATATTTAAAAGTTGTACATCGAAAAAAACATTCAAAAATAAGATAGAAATATAAATGCTACTTTTCTATAGTATTGTCCTAAATTACGGAACACACTGAAATCTGCATAGTAATTCTTTAAAATACTAAAGTAGTGATTAAACACTACGTCGACTCTAACTTACTAACATATTGACATAGAAGAGCATGCTTTAATGAGTTGTTCAAATGTAAGATGAGTCATTTCTTGATTCTCTAGAAAAATAATAATTAAAGAAGTTAAGCGGTCTGAAACCAGAACATCTTAGTGAATGGTAAAATCCAGTCCAAGTCATCTGGCTGCTTTTATAAAATTGACAGATTTTTATCAAACCATGTACAATAAAATTCCAGTGAATACTATCAAAACATGTTTAAGATGAAAACGAAAGCACTTGTAAAAAAACGAATGAAAAAAAGAATGACAGAAAGGTCAGACGAGAGCCAGCTCCTGCCTGAAGAAAGAATAGTTCAACCCAGAATTGTGTGCGCATGGTAATATCATTAAAGTAGGGCTTTAATCATTATAAGAATAATAGGGCAAATCACGTGGTGCTTGGTAAAAATGGAAAAAAAAATATGTGCGGATTTGGACAACCATCTACAAGTCAGAAACAAGTTCTTATCGCGTTGTCACGTGCTTTCATGTTAACCAATTGAACAGCTGGTATTTTGACTTTTTTTTGTAATTAAAAATTTGGCTTTTCGATGTGGCATTTCAGCTTTTTATATTTACCAAGGTGGCATGTCGAATTTTATACATCAAAGTTGACATTTCAACTTTTTATGATTAAAAATGTTACAAATTCCATGAATTTCCCAAGTTTTGAAACTGAATAAACATTTTGCAATATTCGTTTTTTGCTTGTGTTCAGAGTTTCTTCCAGGCATCTCTTCGCCCCCGAAAAAATTTTACCGCCCCCCCCCCCCCCCCCGAACGAAATGAAATTTATATAATTTATATAGAAAATATATACTTTTAACAGTGTCCGCCCCCCCCCCCCGAAGAAAGTCTACCGCCCCCCCCCCCCCCCCGAAAATTTCAAGTGCCCCCCCCCCCCCCCCCCCCGGAGAAAAAAGTCTGGAAGAAACACTGCTTGTGTTCCACATCTATCATCACAAAATTAATTTGCCAAACCCCAGAATCAACAAAATTTTAATTCAAGAGAAAGTATTATAGATATTTTTGGCAAAATATCGCTAAAATGGTCGCAAATTTCCGAATCAAGAAATGTGATAAGAACTGGCTGACCGATGCTAGCAATACTGAAAGATCTACACCAAAGGCCAACTATCTACGTTTGGCTTCTCCTAGATGGGCAACCAACTAGTACATCTTTCTCTATTGGAAACCCTCTCGTTGGGAAAAATAAACGTCTAATTCATGTAATCAGCAGATATTTAAAATCAATGTAACTAAACCGACAACTCACATGGTTAAGAAAAAAAAGTTCCACCGATTTAGTGCAATATTCAAACATTATAAAAAAAAAAACAGGTGAGGGCTTTTACCAGGTACTCAAGTGTCTTAAAAAACAAACAGCTTTTCTTTTTACAATTCACACGACACACTTAATTTTGCACCATCCTCTACACTTAGACAACACACTCAATTTTGTACCATCCTTCACATCCAAACAGCACATTAAATCTTTGTTTACACCTCTTATGTACATTGCCAGATTTACATTTTTTTAAAAATCTTTCAACTATATTTCTTATAAAATTTTAGATATAAATATCACACCTATTTAAAATCTCATTTAAAATACATGTGGTTTAAATTACTTCTAATAAAACGGAGCGAAAAATATTAACTACAAGATTAGCCTCAGAGAAACGTAATACTGCGAAAATGTTAGGTGCAGAATTTTGTTTATATTTTTAATACTTTACACCCCAACCGCACATAGTGTTAGGTCACTCTCAGATGTTGTGTCACCATCTGGTTCTAGATCGCCCTCAGATGTTGTGTCCCCCTCACTTGCTGGATAACTCTGGTGAGGCACTCTTTGAGTGTAAATTCCCCCCCCCCCCCCAGGTATAGGTAATTTTAAAAAAAAAATCCTTTACTGCTTGCATGCAGTCAGTGTAAAGCATGGAAGTAAATGAACATCTAAACGTGTTTTAAGCTTGATGCGTGTCCACAATATGGGTGAACATCACTGGTAGACGCTGTGGTTATATAAAACTCATGTACCCCATAATCATTTCCTCACAAGTCTAATACACAGTCATAAGTAGGCGCAAAGTACTACATTCAAAATTAGATCTAAGCCCACGCAATCATACATTCACAATCCTTTTCAGTTACTTAATCCGGTATTCACAATTCCACTTGATCCCACAGTCATGAATTCACAAATCCCATAAAAACACACAATCCTATATTCACAATCCCACGTTATCCCGCAATCGAGAATTCACAATCCCACGTTGTTCCTCAATCCTTTATTCCCAATCCAATTTTGTCCCACAATCAAGAATTCACAATCCTGTATTCCCAATTCAATGTGGTACCCAATCATGAACTCACAATCTCACACAGCCCCACAATCCTGTATTCCCAATCCAATGTTGTCCCACAATCAAGAATCCACACTCTCACGAAGCCCCACAATCCTGTATTCACAAGCTCGTTGTCTTCATTGTCTCAGATTTAATGTACTCCTCGTAGGAGGGCGGCGGACTGGGGTCCTCGGTGGGGGGGTCGGGCTCGGGTTCAGAGTCTGTGTTGGGGCTGATCACAATGCGGATGGGCGTGTCTCGTGACTCGATGACGTCATCGTCCTCGTCATCGTACTCCTCCTCTACGTCGTTGGCCGGGTTGGTGTAGGCGTGCACGAAGGTGTCGCCGTAGAGGTACTGGTTGCTAGTGACAACCTCGTAGGCCGGAGGGTCGTCGCTGTACAGACGTGTTCTATGTGGGAAACACAAGGGGAAGTAAGTGATAGAATGTTAGGGTTGGGGAAACACAAGGGGGAGTAAGTGATCAAATGTTCGGGTTGGGGAAACACAAGGGGAAGTAAGTGATTAAATGTTCGAGTTGGGGAAACACAAGGGGAAGTAAGTGATCAAATGTTCGGGTTGGTGAAACACAAGGGGAAGTAAGTGATTAAATGTTCGAGTTGGGGAAACACAAGGGGAAGTAAGAGATCGAATGTTCGAGTTGGTGAAACACAAGGGGAAGTAAGTGATTAAATGTTCGAGTTGGGGAAACACAAGGGAAAGTAAGTGATCAAATGTTCGGGTTGGGGAAACACAAGGGGAAGTAAGTGATCAAATGTTCTATGTGGGAAACACAAGGGGAAGTAAGGGATTAGTGGTTTACATATGTATATATATATATATATATATATATATATATATATATATATATATATATATATATATATATAAAATATTGTATATATTACATTTAGTGAAAATGGTAGTCTATCTGACAACAATGAAAGTATTACCTGGAGGACACATGATACAGGTCGGAGACTTCCATATCACAAAGGCTGAAGGTGGAATTGTTTTGTAACTGGTGGAATACGAAAAGTTGAACATAAATTTATACTCGTTTATATTAGCTCCTGTACATGCAATCATAACAGGAAGGAACAGATTTAATTCTTAATGGGAAGACGAATTTTTCTTCCGTGTGATAAAAATAGATTGCATGTTTGAATGTGTCATGCGTATGAATGATTAGATTTGAACACTTAACAGTGGAGTGTTACATATGATGGTTACATATAATGGTTACAACTAAACTACTCATTTGAAAGTTCAGTTGGGAAATATAATTGACTCAGTTCAGGCCTGTCATAATAGAATGTAGTTAGATACATTGTATTGGGGAGGGGGGTGGGGGTCTGACAGAGAAAATGTATTTTATGGGGGTCTTAAGTCTTAAGACGAAACATTTCTAATGGGGGGGGGTCTTAAGTTCGTCCTAGAAATGTGTATTAGGAGGGGGTCTTAAATCTTACAAAGAAACATTTCTTAGGGGGGGGGGGGGGGGTTCTTAAGTTTGACAAGGTGTCTTTGAGAGACAAAAACAGCAACAGATGCGACTCACGGCAAAAATTGGTCTACTGTAGATCTCCCGGATGTAGCGACGTAGCAAGGACCGTCGCCGGGCCGACATGGTCTGGCGTCTGGGCCACAGCCGGCTAAGGGCGCCCCTCGCCATCACAAGAACACCAGCAGCGATCAGCACTGGGCCAGCGTACCTGTCGCCAACAAACACAACTCAGGTTCAATCCTACAATCATTCACATCCTACAATCATTCACATTTTGACTGTATTCTTTAAAATACTTACACATTACTTTTTTTTTCAGTCACATTTTTTAATACTAAAATTTATTATGACATTTTTGTCTTAGAAGTGATGGACACTGGTCACAGCCCACAGAATAGTTGTGGCCCCACCCCTCACGATTAAAGGCTGTCCAGTGGCGTAGCGAGGTCGGGTGTCACCCGGTGCGGCACTTAATGGTGTGTGTCCCCCAGAGGCGTAGCGACCCTTCCCGGCGTCCGGGGACAGACTTTCGATTTTCACCCCCCCCCCCCCTCAAACTTTCGATTTGCAACCCCCCCCCCCCCCCTTACACCCTTATCGAGATTTGTCAAATTTGCTCTTAAAAGACTATTTAACACTCGAATTAATCACTTAATTAAGTGGAAGTATCATTTTTCTCTATATATTTTGCTATTTTTTGCCTTGGTGTCACCCCCCCCCCCACTAAATGGTGTCACCCCCCCCCCCCTCGCTACGCCACTACGCTGTCATAGGAGCGACTATTTGTTTAGTTGTTTAATAGTCTCCCCTTGTTGGTAAACACTTGAAAATGTCATTTTGCTATAGGAAGAAAATTATTTGTTCGTGACGCTTTTCACATGTGGGATTTTTTTTTTGTGGGGGGGGGGGGGGGGGGGGGGGGGAGTAACATTCAAGTGAACCACTTGAATATTCCAAGCTGGTTAACGTTATATATATAATCTAATGTGTAGGATTTTAAATGTAAAATTCCAATGACGTCAAAACACAAAGTGGCTGGAGATGCGCATTCAGCTGGGGGTGGAGGTGGGCGGGTAATTCTCTGGGTTACCTCTCTTTATTTTCGCTGCTCGTGCCGTCCAAGTTCTGAAAGGTGAGTGACGTAATGATGACCCCGACGACCAGCAGCAGACAGCCGGAAATGATGTAACAGAGGGAGTTGCCGAGAAGATAGCTGCACGGATTGGAGGCTGCTGGGTAGCGGGTCGACTCAATCTCCGAGGGCCGGCGCCATCTTATGACTGTTTGCATCATAGGCGACACCTGGGATTGGGAAAATAAGTCATGTTGGCGACACCTGGGATTGGGAACATAAGTAATGTTGGCGACACCTGGGATTGGGAACATAAGTAATGTTGGCGACACCTGGGATTGGGAACATAAGTAATGTTGGCGACACCTGGGATTGGGAAAATAAGAAATGTTGGCGACACCTGGGATTGGGAAAATAAGAAATGTTGGCGACACCTGGGATTGGGGAAAATACGTAATGTTGGCGACAACTGAATTCGGTGTGATAAAAATTAGACGATTGTGTTACCGACAGAGGGAAACCGATGGATGAAATGTGCCTTTACCACATGCACGACTGCTAATTTGAATCCCGGGCTAGAGACAGAACGTCCCTGAGCCCACCCAGCTCTGGTGGGTACCTGACCCACGTTGGGAAAAGAAAGGCGGCTTGGCATAGTGCTGACCCACTATCTCTTCAGAGGTGAACAGAGGTGAATTCTAATTCATCTGTTCCATGGACCGCCAGATTAAAAAAAAACTTTTACTTACCACAAGAAAAAAAATGTTTTGTAATAATCCAAAGTGAAAATTGTTTAGCCTGTGGTGTAAGTTTAAACGTAGAGTTACCTGACTTTCAAGCATGATCTACTAATTCATTTATCTCTACCCACCCCTCCTCTCCCCCATTTGTCACATAATGAAGGATATAAGAAATATCAAAACATCAATGACTACATACATTAGGCAGGTGTTGTACATACGTGTTGATAAAGTTAGCGCAAGAATTAGAGAGTAGATGGGAACCATTGCAACATCCGCCAATGAATGAGTCAGAATTTGTTTGATATTTCATTGATGTGCTCATTAGCACAAGAAATCGTCTAGATGGGAACCATTACAACATCCGCCGATAAATGAGAATGTGTTAGATGTTTCATTGAGGTGCTCATTAGCACAAGAATCTCTTGTCGTCATGATGTCGTGACACGAGAATTTCGCCACAGATGTCACTGACAGTCACGGTGACATTACAGACACGTGTCTCTCTTCATAATAATAGCAGTATCTTCACCTCCCTCTTCGTTACCATCCCCCCCCCCCACAGTACCGCCCAAATAAGTGCAGGTTTAAATATTTCTGTTCTCTGATCACAAAGAAAATATAGCGAGGATTCGCCATGCACAGACGACCTCTCTTTATAATCGCGGCATTGTGACGTGACATTTCGTCAATTAGTTCACCCCAATAGATATGAAGTAGAAACCTCCGCCTATGAAGAGCGCTTCTAACATGCTTTGACCTTTCCATAACGATTTTTGAACCAGTCTTACAGTGCGAGCGTATAGGGCAACGCGTCCAGAGTATTTTCCCCGTTAAGGTTTTACTGAATTACTCGAGTTTTCAAAGAGACCAGATTGCAATTTAAAACAATTAACAGCCTTTCCCGTTAAGGTTTTACTAAATTACCCAAGTTTTCAAAGTGAGCGGATTGCAACTTAAACAATTAACAGCTTGTGTTCTCTTCACAAACGGTAGCTTATTGTACTGCATTGTGGTAATGTGCAAAACATACATTTCAGTATTTTTATGAAAGCTTACGAAAGAAGTATCGTTTATGATTTACAAATGATAATAGAAAAAAAGATGATTGACTATATTTTAACTTTTTAAGTTCGATACAATGAAATAGTCGTTTTAATTTAATTTAATATAATTTAATGCCCGAAAAATATAAATTGACCAACGGTACACAGGTGGCCAGATAAGCTATGTTGTGGATGCCATATTTATTGGGTTTTCTATTATTTAAATGTCTCAGGCTAACGAATCTTGAATGGAAATAGAGTGTAAAAGTTAAGACGGTTTGCTTTTTAGAGAACTGTATTTCAAACTGCTTTAGCAAGGCTGAGCTACACAACATTCATGGATAAATAGGACGCTACGGGAATGGGTTGGTTGATCTGTGGTCAACGGTGTCAAAGCTAGCTGGTTGTTGCCAGTTGACATCTGGTCGAGGCTTGGTCAGCAAGCTACAATCCCCCCCCCCCCCACACGCCATACCTGCTACAAACAAAGTTACCTGCGTAACTACACTTTAAAGGGTTTGAAAATAGAAGTTGCTTTAAGACGATACTAATGTTATCAGAACTTCTAGCTTCTCCAAATTCATGTCATTTTAATCAGCTTAAAATCATGACATAAAATATCAAAACTCCATCTCGCTTTGTTGGTCGTTATTAAATCATAACATAAAATATCCAGAGTCCTGCTCGCTTTGTTGGTCACCATCAAATCATGACATAAAATATCCTAACTCCAGCCATTAAATCATAACTTAAAATATCCAAACTCCAGCTCACTTTGTTGGCGCCATCAAATCATGGCATTTTCCCACAGGAGTTCAACAATCGAATTATATTTGCTCAGTTTGTAGGATAAAAATTGATGAACATAATCATAGCCAAGTGAATGTATAACGACGTCAAGAAATAAAATAGTTAAAAACTAGATAACCAGAGAATGGTTTATAATTGTATACCATCGACCTCTACCACAAAGACTGCCTCCGCCGCTTACTGTTGTTTGTGACATAATAATATTATAAATACCATCTAGCAGTGATGAGCATTTACGTCAACATAAATACAAATCTGCAGAAAATCCAATGTTTAATGCCAACAAAATAACAATGTTTAGTGCAAACAGAAAATCCAATGTTTATTCCCAACAGAAAATCCAATATGTAGTGCCAACAAAAAATCAAATGTTTAATGCCAACATAAAATCCAATGTTTAGTGCCAACAAAAAATCCAGTGTTTAGTGCCAACAAAAAATCCAATGTTTAGTGCCAACAAAAAATCCGATGTTTAGTGCCAACAAAATAACAATGTTTAATGCCAACATAAAATCCAATGTTTAGTGCCAACATAAAATGCAATATTTAGTGCCAACATAAAATTCAATGTTTAGTGCCAACAGAAAATCCAATGTTTGTTAGTGCCAACAAAAAATCCAATGTTTAGTGCCAACAAAAAATCCAATGTTTAGTGCCAACATAAAATACAATATTTAGTGCCAACATAAAATCCAATGTTTAGTGCCAATATAAAATCCAATGTTTAGTGCCAACAAAAAATCCAATGTTTAGTGCCAACATAAAATCCAATGTTTAGTGCCAACAAAATAACAATGTTTAGTGCCAACAGAAAATCTAATGTTTAGTGCCAACAAAAAATCCAATGTTTAGTGCCAACATAAAATCCAATGTTTAGTGCCAACAAAATAACAATGTTTAGTGCCAACAAGAAATCCAATGTTTAGTGCTAACAAAAAATCCAATGTTTAGTGCCAACAAAAAATCCAATGTTTAGTGCCAACAAAAAATCCAATGTTTAGTGCCAACATAAAATCCAATTTTTAGTGCCAACAAAATAACAATGTTTAGTGCCAACAAGAAATCCAATGTTTAGTGCTAACAAAAAATCCAATGTTTAGTGCCAACAAAAAATCCAATGTTTAGTGCCAACAAGAAATCCAATGTTTAGTGCTAACAAAAAATCCAATGTTTAGTGCCAACATAAAATCCAATATTTAGTGCCAACATAAAATCCAATGTTTAGTGCCAATATAAAAATCACGAACGATGACGAGCACGTATATTATTATTGTATAAAAACGTCATCGATTTATTTATTTCTCTCTTGAGCAGCATCAATTAAAACATGCATCGTTGGAAAGTTCCAGAATCTCTGGCTTGTCATGTACGAAAACAAACCGGAATAACTTTATAAAAACCGCACAAATTATTAGTAACACAGCGACGAGAAAGACTAAACAGCAGAAAGTAGATAATTACAGTAATTTGACAGAAAGACGATGTTTTCTTCCTATTAGAATTTGGTGGGAGAATAGAAAGAGTTACATGGATTTAGTACAGTAGGAATACTTTTTTTCGACGTCTTTCCATTTATTTGTTTGATATTGGGTACCGGATATAGTTTATAGGAAACTGCGGCGTTTAGACCAGGATGTTTGTTTGTCTTGAATCTGTTATTATGTATGGTAATCAATAAATAAAAAATAGAATGTTTATGGTAACAGGGAACATAACTTCACAATAGGTATAGTGACACGGAACATAACTTCACAATATGTATGGTAACAGGGAACATAGCTTTATTTATAGTAACAGGGAACAAAACTCACAATAACTATGGTAACAGGGAACATAACTTTATTTATAGTAACAGGGACCATAACTTCACAATATGTGTGGTAACAGGGAATATAACTTCACAATAAGTATGGTAAAAGGGAACATAACTTCACAATAAGTATGGTAACAGGGACCATAACTTCACAATAAGTATGGTGACTAGGACCATAACTTCACAATATGTGTGGTAACAGGGAACATAACTTCACAATAAGTATGGTAACAGTGAACATAACATCACAATAAGTACGGTAACAGGGAACATAACTTCACAATAAGTATGGTAACAGGGAACATAACTTTATTTATAGTAACAGGGAAAAAAACTCACAATAAATATGGTAACAGGGAACATAACTCACAATAAGTATGGTAACCGGGAACATAATTCACAATAAGTATGGTAACAGGGGACATAACTCACAATATGTACGGTAACAGAAACGTAAGCTCACAATATGTATGGTAACAAGGGACATAACTCACAATAAGTATGGTAACCGGGAACATAACTCACAATAAGTATGGTAACAGGGAACATAACTCAAAATAAGTATGGTAACCGGGAACATAACTCACAATAAGTATGGTAACAGGGAACATAACTCTCAATATGTATGGTAACAGAAACGTAAGCTCACAATATGTGTGGTAAGAAAAAAAAAAGCAACAATTGTTGGACCCAATGGATTGAGAACTCAGATGGCCGTAAGTTTTCTACAGTCTGATAGAAACAGGGAATTTTTTTACTCAAGGGGGTCATTCAGTTGATCGCATTCAGACGGGAGATGAAAACAAAAATAGAATAACTGGGGGAGTCAGATGATGCGACAAGCAGGGGGGGGGGGGGGATTGAAGAGGAGGTGAGGAGAGGGTAGTACAGGATGGGAGAATACGAAGATAGGTTGAGGGGAGAGTATAAAGATGGGTTGAGGCGAGAGTATAAAGATAGGTTGGATAGGTTGAGGGGAGAGTATGAAGATAGGTTGAGGGGAGAGCATAATGATGGGTTGATGGGAGAGTATAATAATGGGTTGAGGGTAGAGTATAAAGATAGGTTTAGGGGATAGTATAAAGATATAAAGATGGGTTGATGAGAGAGTATAAAGATGGGTTGAGGGGAGAGTATAAAGATGGGTTGAGGGGAGAGTATAAAGATAGGTTGAGGGGAGAGTATAAAGATGGGTTGAGGGATAATAAAGATAGGTTGAGGGGAGAGTATAATGATAGGTTAAGGGTGAGTATAAAGATAGGTTGCTGGGAGAGAATAAAGAAAGGTTGAGGGGAGAGTATAAAGAAAGGTTGAGGGGAGAGGATAAAGATATAAAGATGGGTTGAGGGGAGAATGTGAGGAGAAAAGAAGGGAGAATACGAGGATCTGACAAGAGACGGATCGACCCAGGCATCGTCTTGCGAGCTTCAACTAAACTAAATTATTTACATCATTAAAAAAAAAAATTCAACTCCGGTTGGTCTGAAGATCAAAACAGATTTTAAAAATTTAGAACAACGAAAAATTGTCTCCATTCTTCTGACTGAAGTGAGATAAAAAGAAACAGTTGCGCACATGCAGACGATGGGGAGGGGGGGGAATTCTGTCCTCTGGGCAGGACTTGAGATGTAAAAAAAAATAATCTCGACATCGATTTTTGTTGAAATATCCCCCCCCCCCCCTCCAACTCTCCCCCTCCCCCAAGCTCAGCAATAAGAGCCGACAGAATAGCGCTTCAATTATTTACTGGCCCTAAAAACCCATTAGTGTCTTAAAACAAAGAAATAATTGCATCATCCTTTCGAATTATTTGATATACGGCTGGTCTTTAGAATTGTGCTCTTCAACTTAAAAACACCCCCACGAGATTGTCTTACTTAGTAAATCATTAATTATTGATTGGATGCCGTAATTTAAATTAAGCTGAATAATAGCAGCGGCCGAACATCACTTCAACGGATGATTTTTAACTTTCATTTGCGAATCCAGGAAAATGTTAAATATTTTAAAATAGTTCCATTGAAGGCGCATTGTTTTTCTAAGCGCCATTTTCTAAGCAATAGCCGAAGATGTTGTCCTATAAACATGCTGTCTTTTGCTGTCTGTTGCTGTCTGTTGCTGTCTGTTGCTGTCTGTTGCTGTTTTACTCACTGTTGAGTTTCACAGTGGTGATACTTCCTGTTCTAGGTAAACATGTGGGATTGATTTCATGTCTAGGAGTCACTAAATGTACAGGAGTCACTAAATGTGTGGGAGTCACTAAATGTGTGGGAGTCACTAAATGTGTGGGAGTCACTAAATGTGTGGGAGTCACTAAATGTGTGGGAGTCATTAAATGGACAGAAGTCACTAAAAGTGTGGAAGTCACTAAATGTGTGGGAGTCACTAAATGTGTGGGAGTCACTAAATGTGTGGGAGTCATTAAATGGACAGAAGTCACTAAAAGTGTGGAAGTCACTAAATGTGTGGGAGTCACTAAATGTGTGGGAGTCATTAAATGGACAGAAGTCACTAAAAGTGTGGAAGTCACTAAATGTTAAGGAGTCACTAAATGTACAGGAGTCACTTAATGGACAGGAGTCACTAAATGTTAAGGAGTCACTAAATGGACAGGAGTCACTAAATGTACAGGAGTCACTAAATGTTAAGGAGTCACTAAATGTCGCATAATATTGAGGAGTCACTACATATCTATTTGTCGCTAAATGTCTCTGATTCATTATATGTCTTGGAGTCACTTAAGGTCCTAGAGTCGCTAAATGTCTATGAGTCGCTAAATGTCTATGAGTCGCTAAATGTCTAGCACTCACTATATATTACTAAAATTGTATATGAAATTGCGTACGTTTTTTTTGTTTGTTTTTTTTTCTCGATCTCCGTGTATCATCTTACATTATTTTACTTATTTTTGTCTTCATATTTTATTTTTTAAAAATTGGCACTCATATTTTATAGTTATTTTTCCCCCCTCATATTTCAAATTTTCGGTTTTGTTTTTGTTTTCATACTTCGCTTTCTGTTAGTTTATCTCTAACCTCATATTTCGTATTTCTTTTTTCTGAAATCATATTCCGTTATTTTTCTGCCCTTATATTCCGTTATTTTTCTGCCCTTATATTCCGTTATTTTTCTGCCCTTATATTCCGTTATTTTTCTGCCCTTATATTCCGTTATTTTTCTGCCCTTATATTCCGTTATTTTTCTGCCCTTATATTCCATTATTTTTCTGCCCTTATATTCCGTTATTTTTCTGCCCTTATATTCCGTTATTTTTCTGCCCTCATATTCCGTTATTTTTCTGCCCCCATATTCCTTTAATTTTCTGCCCTTATATTCCGTTATTTTTCTGCCCTTATATTCCGTTATTTTTCTGCCCTTATATCCCGTTATGTTTCTGTCCCCATATTCCTTTAATTTTCTGCCCTTATATTCCGTTATTTTTCTGCCCTTATATTCCATTATTTTTCTGCACACATATTTAGTAGTTTATTCTGGCTTCATATTTCATGTTTCTTTATTTCTGCCCTTATCCTTTGTTGTTGTTTTTTTTTACCCTCATATTTCGTAATTTTTCTGCCCTCATATTTTATACTTTTCCTGCCCTCTTATTTAACATTCTTTTCGTTTTTCTTCATGTCCTCCTGTTTAGCCCTCCTTTTATTTTTTCCTTGTATTTCGTCTGCCTTTATTTTTTATCAGTTTCTTTTCGATTTCCGTTTTTCTTTCACTTAGCCACACCCTCCGCCCCCCTCCCACTATGATTTGCACTGTTAGTCCAATCAATAAAGGTCACAACTATAAAAAGATTGAGCCGGTATAGATCAGTGACGGACAAGTCACGATGTTGCTAAACTGACGTTATATAGGCTATAGTATTAGTATCAACACATATCTAACAACTTTAATATAAATGTCACGATAGTCCCAACTACTTTAACACGACACACATGTAAAAAAAATTTCAATAACCAATGAAGAACTAAGTATGACTAGGCAAGTAATATAACGTCAACACTATGTAGTCATTTAGTCGATAAAAAAGTAGAACTCTCAGTTCTTCTGACGTCACTCAACCATGACACATTTTGATGATTCATCAAAAGGCCCATAACCGACTTAAATCTTATTCATCCTCTGTAATTAAATCTGCTACATTAATGACCAGCTTAAAAATTATGTTACAATTTCTTACTATACAAACGATAACATAATATTTATTAAGCCTAAGTTCTGATCACTGGTTTACTTTTGTATAATAAAAACTATAATTACTCATTCACTCCTAAGTAAAATGTTAAAGAGATTGTTATCCCCCTTTAGATTGTAATATTATTTGGTAAAGCAGGGGATGATGTACGTTCACAAAGGAAGGCTTTGGAAGATTTTGTATTTAAAGCTGTGGTGACCAGATATTGTTTTGTGCGTGATAACTAGAGGCGTGTGTGTGTGAGTGTGGGGGTGAGTAAGTGTGTGTGTCTGGTATTTGGTGAGTGATACTTCGCTCTAGTAGAAGGTCAAGATGTTGTGGGAGGGGAATACGAATGTTCTATGTGGAGAACAAATGTTCTATGTGGAGGTCAAATATTCTATGTGGAGGTCAAATGTTCTATGTGAAGGTCAAATGATCTTTGTGAAGGCCAAAATGTTCTATGTGGAGGTCAAATGATCTATGATGTCAAAATGTTCTAGTGGAAGGCTCTACGTGTTCTATGAGTATGTCAAAATGCTGTAGGTTAATGTCAAAATGTTCTATGAGAATGCCATAATGTTCTCAGTTAATGTCAAAATGTTCTATGAGAATGCCATAATGTTCTCAGTTAATGTCAAAATGTTCTATGAGAATGCCATCAAAAACCTCGACAATTAAAACGATGTTTTCAAACAGTCAGACCTGCGAACTATCGCCACGTCAGCCACTGTGAGCAGCCTAACACTCTGTCACACGTCATGGCCTATGGATTCCATCCCAAGTTTGACAGCTAAAATACCGGCACGGAAAAATCTGGCACACTGAGCTGCATTGTGGGATCGATCTTCCTGCTCGGGACGTGATATGTACATTTGGTGACCTAGTTCTTGTATCGCCGTGTGACATGGCTTAAATTAATTAATCGATACGATACCGATACTCTTTGCTGGCAAGTGATGAGATATATAAGTATCGTCGTGACATGTGTTAAATTAATTGATCGATACGATACCGATATTCTTTGCTGGCAAGTGATGAGATATATAAGTATCGTCGTAACATGTGTTAAATTAATTGATCAATACGATACCGATACTCTTTGCTGGCAAGTGATAAGATATATAAGTATCGTCGTGACATGTGTTAAATTAATTGATCGCTACGATACCATAGTAGTAGGTAAAGCAATCAGGTAAACCTTTCACGGGAACCATGATGTTTAATTAAGTAAGAACAAGAAGAGGATTATGGGAATCAATAGTTAATGAGCAGGTGGGCTATGGCGATCTTACCGTCGCTTGCATGCAACTCATTCCAAGGTGTACGGCCCATTAGATCTTGTTCCTCAAGCAAGACACGGGGGATGGGTGGTCAACACTCGGACATTTTGGTGAACATCAACACTCGACTAGCCTGAAAGTACATGGGTTGATTTAAGAAATTAGGTCAGTATAACACACACACACACACACACACACACATATATATATATATATATATATATATATATATATATATATATACACAAGTACATACTATATGAATATGCATATACATACAAACTATGCATACATACATGACACATACATATATATGTATATAAATAAATATATATATATATATATATATATATATATATATATATATATATATATATATATATACATATATATATATATATATATATATATACATATATATATATATATATATTAATTACTTCCTGCTTTTGTGGCTAAGGTAAATAAAGGCCATTGTTTTGACAATTACCCGAGTTTCATGTCATGAATCCCGCTACTTTCGTTATTAGTTTTGTTGAAAGCCAGACTTGAAACATGACCCAAATTAAATTCAAAGCCAAAACAAACCTACCTGTGATCTGCTCATTAAACTACATTAGCTATTATTGATTTCTTAATCAGTGCTCTTAGGCGAGCCGATTGGTTTTAGCACTTTGTATACATGTCAGAAATTTATTTTTAGAGCAGTGGAGGTCAAGGTTAAATAAACGTTTTGGTAAAGCTGCGTTCGTCATTGTATCATTGAACTTCTAAAACAACGTTATTTTATTTGGCAGTAAAACGCAGCCATCGCACTCCTTATTACGCTTTTCATCTCAGTGTAAAATACAATTTTATGAACGAAATCAAATCGCACAAAACGCAATCAAGCACGTTTTATGAAGCCAAACATTAAGCCCCCCACACCGAAGTAATTTTCGATTAACAGTAGCATATTGATCAGGTAAAAAGAGGATTGAAAGGGGAATGAATAATTGAACAATCTTCTGGCCTCCAGACGGTGTACGCACCATCCTGTGAATTAATGACAAATTTTAACAGCGTTCAAGAACGGTGCCAGTCGATGGGGCTAATTATCCCAGTTAAATTTAGACATGATGTAGATATTCCCTTGGTTATACATGGGCTTTCTTTCTTTATTTGATAAAAGCATGTAGGCCTACTGTTGAAATATTGTACTCAAATCACATTCGTGTTATGTTGTGTTATAAAAACCCAATACTTTGGTTTGTTACATAGCATACATAATGCATGCCCTAAAACGTAAAACACTAGATTATGTTCTAAGATTGGTTGTTAAATTGGTCAAGATTTTGAAATTATTGCACTGTTAAAGGAGATGGGATTATTTTAACGTTTAAACGAAATGCAGTAAGGCTACAAGTAGAAATTGATGATGGGAGTGTTTACAGAGAAAGCAAGTTGAATAACATTATAAATAAAATAAAAATATGTCTACATTTTATGTACTGGCACGTCAATTAGCGTCATACCTCGTACTAAGTGGCTGACTGACTAGCTGACTGACTGACTGTCTAACTAGCTGACTGACTGACTGTCAGACTGACTGACTGACTGACAGACTAACTAGCTGACTGACTGCCTGACTAGCTGACTGACTGACTAGCTGACTGATTGACTGACTGACTGACTGACTAGCTGACTGACTGACTGACTAGCTGACTGACTGACTAGCTGACTGAATGACTGTCTGACTGACTAACTAGCTGACTGACTGACTGACTAGCTGACTGATTGACTGACTAACTGGCTGACTAACTGACTGACTGTCTGACTATCTGACTAACTGACTGTCTGACTATCTGACTAACTGACTAACTGGCTAACCAACTGGCTGACTAACTGGCTGATTGACTGACTGATTAACTGGACCAATGACTGATTCGAGTATTTCACGTTACAACGAGTGTTTAAAATTTGAGAAAATGACCTCGACCTTCTCGTGAACCATACCTTGACTACAGGTATAGCGTGCAGTTTGTATGGACTACTCACATAATACAGATCGTACAGTGACCTAAGCTTATAATCATGATGTTAAGTCGTTAGAGAAAATTGTTTGATCTTTTCTGTTTTTTATTGAGACTATTTCCTATCAAGACCGGACGGTATTTGCTGAAAGACTCACGGTGAGGGCCGGAATAGAAAGTATCACATTCTCAAGGCAGTCCCTAGTTCCTGCGCTAATACATTGAATAACATTAGTGAAGTGACGCATCCATCCCAACCCCTTTACATCTCCTAATCCCTAGTCCTACCTACATCACATTGCAAACATACAAATATTCTCAAGCTGTCACATAATAGGAACTCACTCAAATCATTATATCGACTATCTAGACTTGTAACGTTCATTTTACGGATATCACCCTGTGTGCTAACTTAGAAATCTCCCCCATAACAATATATATATATATATATATATATATATATATATATATATATATATATATATACATATATATATCTGTGTGTGTGTGTATGTGTGATTGTGTATATATAGATCTATAGTGCTACAGAAATGAGTCTAGCTGTAAAGTGCTATAAACTTATCAACCCAAACATTGCCATCATGTTATAAACCTATGTAGGCAACCTATAAAAGGTTTTCATGTAATAAACCTATGGAGGCTTTGGGTAATATTTCTATAAAATGATGTCAAGAAGAAAATAATTCACAAATTTCATTAGATTTGCCATGTAAGGGTAACTTAGATAACAATACATCTTATAATTTCAGCTAACGTGGTAGAATTTAAAAAACTATTTTCATCAAGCTTGACTGCGGTCATCATTGTCACAACCATTGTCACCGATATTGTCACATCAGTGTTCTCCCCGCCAATGTGCTCAAAAATTTTATTGTCACCTTCATCGGCACTAGTATTGTACTCGTTGTCCCCACCAATGTTTCTAAATTTTCTCCTCAACATTGTCGCGATATTTTCCCTTTTCTTGTCCCGATCAATGTCCCCACAACTGTCCTAACATTCCTTCCCATAGATTGTCCCCATCTATGTATCTATAGTTGTCCACAAAATAATTGTCCCGATTTTGTTATCAACAGCATTTTACCAACAATTTTGTCCAAATCGTTGTCACTACTTTACTGCCACCAATCCCTACAACCATTGTCAGCAAAATATACACCACTATTGTTATCATTATGGTCTTACTACTTCCCTACACATGGTCCTAATCGTCAACACTATTATCATCACCATCATCTTCATCATTATCACCACCAACGACATTATCATCATTATCACAACCATCATCATAATCATCATCATAATCTCCATCATCTTCAGCATCTTCATCACCAGTATCATCATCTTCATCACCATCACAACCGTCATCACCATCTTCATCATTATCATTATAATCTCCATCATCTTCATCATCTTCATCATCACCACCACCACCATCATCATCATCATCATCATCATCTTCAGTATCATCACAACCATAATCATCATCATTATCATTATAATCTCCATCATCATCATCATCATCATCTTCATCATCACCATGTTCGCACAATAGACTTCAACATTTCAAGTTTGACTCTCTATCTTTACTACTGTCTGAATGGTTTAAACCTGAAAGCTCCGCCTGTTATCTGATATCGATTCACATTTTAACATTTGACGCAATATTTAGTAATTAACTAGGATAATTTCAACATGGTTTTAAGCAGCAAAGTTAATTGAGTGCTCACGTTGTATTGAGGGGGAAAATTAGTAAGTTTCTCTTTTAATTTGAGTTGGATTTTTATTTCCATTAAAATCTTTGATAGACATGTTTTTTTCACCTACTGTGGCAGGGGTGTTGGCTAGGATTATGAAATAGTTTATAACAATGTTATAGTAAAAGGTTTTGAAAAACTCAGTAGTCTTCTTCATATTTCAGATCATACCACGTCAATGTCATTTACACCATATCACATATCACATGTCATTTACAATATACATCATATTACGTCCATGTCATTTACACCATATCATGTCCATGTCATGTACAACATATCACAGTATCACCATATCCATATCATGTACAATATATGATGTACATTTTATGTACACTATATCACGTCCATGTCATGTACACTATATCACGTCATGTTATATCATGTTATGTACACTATATCAGCATATGACCTCCATGTCATTTACAACCATATCACATCATTTACACCATATAATAATAGCATATTCATGTAATGTCTTTTTTTATATCTAGACATCTTGTATTTTATTTCTTCAAGTGCCCTACTACAGCTTCATAGAACGATGCAATGTTTCTACAAAATGTCTAAACCAACATCTATAACTTGCGCCCATAAATAATGTTCTTGGTTAATTATATTTTATAAATTAACATTAATAGTTAACAATGATATAATATCAATGCCAGAATCAACGAATAACGCTATGACAAAGTAAACACACTTGCAAATTTCAGCAAGTGAGTAGAACTTGGAATGCAAGTGAGCCAAATGTAACAAGACAAAAAGCTTCCAGCTTTAAACTCTGTCAACAACACGTCAAGAAGTCTGTGTGGACAAGTGTACATGGACAAAACAGAGCAACAAGTTACCTCTGATGATATAATCCCCACAAGTCTGGCCACACGACAACACCACACAGTCGGCTGCCCTACACATTTGTACTTTAACTTCCGCTCAAGATCCGCCTGAAACAACACGAGCAGACGATCGATGGCAGCGTCACCGTGTTCAGCACGTGAGCGAGGTCGGCTGGGCGAGGGCTGGAATAGCCCGGAAGAAAATTGAATTATATCAACGATCTGTTCGATAATGTGTGTGTTCGCACGTTGAGGGGGTCGGGGGGGGGGGGGGGGTGGAGTTTCGTCTGATAAACAAAACAATAAACTGATAAGAGATACATCGGCAGTCTTTATAGAGAGATGGGCATATATATTTTTTTTTAAAATTATATTGCTTAGATCGGCTTTGATCTTAATTATTTTAATTGCGGTCAATGTTAATTAGTGCTCATTAGTTTCAGAAGATTTCCAACGAACATTTGCCGTCTGAATTGGTTGTTTTTAGTGGCTAAAAAAA